TATAATCCTTGTCATAGGGACCCCTCAAAGGGATCCTAATTTTCTGTCACCCCTGCTTTGAGAAACCAGGATTTTATATTGCTCATACGACAGCAGGCTGGTGCAAACAGCACAGCCCAGGCACCCATCGAATTGTAATTCACTACACCCCCCCCCNNCCCCCCCCCCCCCCCTCCCCCCAATTACGCACATTAAAATTTCCACACGCCAGTACCACGGATAGGGAGAGTATGTATTGTGACGTGGGTGGGGACCTTAATGTAAGGGGGATGTCTTTTCTTGGCCTTCCATGGTAAATCTGGCTTGATGTTTTTCTCGACTTACTCTTAGTGTCCTGCTGAGGGATCTCGCAGCCAAGGTTCTTTGCCCTTGACAACGCCGCCGAGTACGGGCACTGGGTGGTAGATGACAAGGTCTCTGAGCTTCACAAGATTCCCCTAAGCCCTGAACCTTAAACCCAAACTCCTACGGCCAGTTTGGAGGGTTGGGAGGATGCCACCCCCAGTTTGCCCCAATATAGTCTTTAAATGAACCAATGTAGTCCCTGGGGCTTCCTAAGAGGATCCCAAACTCAGGGCACGGTCCTAGTGGCACAACCCTGAAACGCTTGAAAAGGAGGCTGGGGCTAAATCAGGGGACTGCCATTTGCGAACTAACCGGCTGGTCGGTTAAAGATTGCCACGTGATGTGCGCTCATAAAAGTTGGGGACCCAAAAGCCCTAACCCTAAACTCTTTTGAGATTTTTGCTGAGCCCGCACGCAAGGAGATTTTTGGAGGAAAGCCCGCATTTGCATTCCTTAATTGTAGGTTCTGTAATTACTTTTGAGTAGCCGACTTAATTTAAACCTCCCCAGGATCCTGCGGAGCCCTCTTTTCCTGGATCAGTGGAGGCAAAACCTTCCGTAGCATAGCCCCCCCCCTGCTGACATGATTATGCAGGGGAGTACGGAATATGGAGCCCGGCACACATGAATTTATGGTCTCTCGGAATGAGGAGCCAGTTGGGATACCCTTAGCTGCTGGGCCCCAACCCCATAAAACCTTCATTAAACCTTGGATCTCATCACTTCGAGGTCAACCCTTGTTATGTCAATGTGGATCCCCGAAATCTAAACCCCAATCCCTAAACCCAGAACCTTCAACCCTGACTCTGAGGCCAAGAACATTTTCAGGAACAACTTCAATACCGCCCTTGATGAGCAGGGTACCTTGCGAATGTTGAAGCAGATTCACACCAAGGAGCAGTGTGGAGGGTTTAGGGGGCATGTATGGGGGTTCAAGGTTAGGGCGTTGCTTTTCCCTTCTTGATATGTACGTCAAACTTGTTTCCGTTGGCTTGAAGCTTCAGGAATGCTGGCCCGGAGCAAGTGAATGCCACAAGAAAGAGGTTTGGGGGTCAAGGCTTGGGGTCAGGGATACGAAAAAATCCAAGGTTAGTAGTGATTTCCAGAATACGTGGTCACCCGTTGGACTGCCTGTACACAAGATGAAGTGTTGTCCCGCTAGTCTTTTAAAATAGCTACTAATTATGAGAAATGTCACCATTGTTTCGTAGTATGCCTACCTAAGCTAAGCTGCCATAGCCGGCCTGAGCCACTCTGCACTGCCAAAATTGAGGGGTTGCGGCTTAAAAACTTTGTGTTTCAGGTTGAGGATTTGGAGTTAGGAAGCCTTCTCCGAAACGATAAAAGTAGTTTCTCCTGAAGTAGGGGAACTCTAATATAATCTCACATGCTATAACCCCAGCATATGGAGCCCTTTAATGGGACTCCTACTTTTGAAGCCCTAAACCTGAATGTCCTGTGCCCCTAGGTATGTGAGTATATCCCTTTGCATCCCCATATGATCGGTCCAAGCTTTAAATCCTACACCCTAAAACCCTAAACCCTAAACCCTAAACCCTAAACCCTAAACCCTAACCCTCTAAACCCTAAACCCAGAACCCAAAATCCAATACAACCAGGAGCTTCGGGCGCATTTTCACCCGACCGAGCTTTTCAAGGCAGGTAAACACAACAATCAGGATTCGGGGTTTAGCGTTCTAAGGACTTTGTAGGCCTTGATAGGGATTATATAGGACTTGTATAGGGTTGTCTGTGTGTGTGTTTTTTTTTATTATCAGGAGTGTATGGGGGATGTAAAAGGTCAAGGGTTCAGGTGTTTAGTGCTTAGGATGTGAGCTCCAAACCTTGACATTTTGGAGGGCTGTGGGATGCCAATTGGTTTCTTGTTGGGCAATTGATTACTATGCTTTGTAATCCCAATTGGTTCCTTGTTGGGTAATTGATTAAATCTATGCTTTGTATTCCTCAGGGGCTTTTAAAAAGCAAAAGCAAGGGCCATTTTCAACATTTCGAAGTTGTATGGAAAGTTTTCACCCCCCAACCCCACACGGAGAAGCGCCTGGGCGTTACAAAGCTTTGCTCGGTTTCGGGATCGGTCAACTAAGCTTACTGCTTAAAATCGTTGATAAATTCATGTCAAGATACCCGTCCGTCATGGACCGTTCTCAGGATTTAGCGTGCTTGTGGTTTAGTTGTTCTGGTAGTTGCATGCATTCAGATCTTTCAAAATTTGCCCGCGTTCCACCCCTCATTGGTTACACGTCTGAAGCTTAAGCCCTAGACCCTGCGCCGTAGACACATACCTCAAACCCAGCACCTTCAACCTCACTTCTCAGAAATTCTAAACCGTAAATCCTAAACCCTGAACACATGAACCCTTAAGATCCGTATGAACCCTAATCCCCATACCTTCTTCTGCCAGACGCTCGGTATCTTCGCCTCTCCTGTAATGTAGGGGTCTGGCCGGGATTGGTTGGTTACAGGGCAGCAATAGTGTGAATAAGTCAGGCTTCTATTCAGGGTTTAGGGTTTAGGGCCTTTCAGGGTTTAGGGTTTTGGGGTACAAAGCTTAATCACTACCTCGCTTTCACGACAAAAAGGGACTAACGCACACACACACAGGCAACCAAAACTCTTGCCATAATATGCCCCTGTGTTTTTTCCCAAAGTTGCATGGTAGCATCCCTGAAAGAGACCCCCCCACTCCCTCTTGAAACCCCCATGCGTCCCCAGGGTCGGTAAGAGCCCGTCCCTTTGAAAAAGCCCTCAGGGTAAAGGGCGGCTAACCCCAACCCCCCAAACCCTAAACTCCTAAACCCCAAACCCACCCAAACCCTAAACTCCTAAATCCCAACCCCCCCCAAACCCTAAACCCCTAAACCCGAAACGGTCCCAAAACAGGGAGAGCTGGGTCAAGTCAGCTGGGCAGATGCTCGTGATCTTGTGGCCCGCATGAGGTGTTGTTTGGGGGTTTAGGGTCTTTGGTTTAGAGTTTAGGGTTTAGGGTTTAGGAGGTTTTGGGGTTGGGTTGGGCTTAGGGCTTAGAGCTTAGGGCTGGGGGTTCAGGGGCTTAGGGTTTAGGTTTCTGGCTTGGGTTAAGCCCCGACCCGATATTTCTGGCATGACGGGAGTATATTTGCACATATCTATGTATATATTTTTTTTAAATGTGTGTGTGTGTATGTTTATTTTTTACAGAGACAGGGGGAGAGAGAGAGAGAGAGACCTGGCATGATTTGCCTTATCGGATAGCCTGATTGCCAGTGCTCTCTACTAGTGGGTGGTTGCATAAGCTCAGGTTTGAGGCTGAAGAGACTCGATCATTAAGTTAGGCTGGTGTAAAGGGCATTGAGGACGGTGTGGTTTGGGAGCAGCTTTTGGTTCAGGTTTGAGGGTTTAAGGATAGGTAGGGGAAAATAAATCAAGGCCACCTAGGCTGAAGGCATGCCAATGTTGTGCTATTGTTTCCGGTGGCCTTCTTGGTGTCCTTGGGTTACCTTGAAAACTGCCGACCTAGCCAGATAGTATGCTGGATGACCATGATTAGCCGTAACTAGGGGAGCCAGTAAGAAATTTGTGCGTCATCCATGCGCCGTCTGGCTGTTTGGTTACGCCCTGTTAGGTTAGGTATGGTATAGGTTTAGGCTTGAAAAGGCGTGTGCTTTGAGCCGTTGCGGGTCTATGGGCTCTTGGGAGCACGTGCTCCTTCAGGACAGGTAGGTGAACACGTAGGCCGGGAAAAGCAAGTTTGTGCCCAACCATCCCGGTAAGGAAGTAGCTTTTTCTTCACAACTTCCATCAGGTTGCATCTCGGGAAGCCTGGTGGGATTTCATTTTCAGTTGTTCAACATGTTGGCCTGGTGGCCTAGACAAAGTTTGCACTCCGTGGGGGCAAAGGGGTTTGTAACGCTTGAACTCGAACCCCAAACCTTCAAACCTAAGCGGCAAAGCCTAGCTTTGGGACTGCTAGGCCTAAAGCTTGCAACCTTGAACCTTATACCTTACTGTCCTCAGGATTTTTTAATTTCCTAGTTTAACCCTCAGGGAATATTCAAAGATACTATTTTTATTATAGGTCTACGGAAACTACAGTAAACTCTAGAGCAACCCGAAGACCTAGGAACCAAAGCCTCAAATTCGAATCCCCTAACGAAACAAGGTCAAGCCAGTCTTTGACCTCATGGACAACGGAGGCACCGGACCCCAGAGGGGTGAGTTTCAAGTTTCCGTATGTACCTACGGCTCAGGGGTCATGAGTAGCAGTTTCCATTTCATTTTCCATTATCCCGATATAACCCATAGAACCCCAATATTAAGCGTATATATACCCGAATATAACCTTGGGGTTCAGAGCAGACAGGCCAAGAGCAAACATCCTTATCACCCCAGAGCCTGCCACCCTTGCAGAACCTTGCCGTGAGTTGGCGAGGTTCTAGAGTCTAGAGCTTGGCGAAGGATCTTCACGCGAGTCTCTATATTATTTCTCGTGGTCCTTGGTTAAAAGCTCACGCCAATGATCTGTCAGGATTCTTTCACAAGCTTCGCAGGGGAGGATTGATGAGTAGAAGCCCGCAGCACTTGTATCACTTCCAAAACACATTTTTTGCCTGAGGTGGACATTATTTTCCATTGTCCCAATATAACCCCTATAGAACCCCTATATCCCCTATATACCCTGAAAAGGCCCAGGGAAGATTGCCACCTTGAACTTCTCACAGGGCGGTGCTCCATGATCTGGTGCTTTCGTCCACACCTGTTTCAGCTGGTATTCACTGTCATGGCTCAGAAGCAACTTCCCTCTCTCTTCAGTAAGCCCACAACCTTACAGCATGAGGCAGCAATCTTGTATGTAATTCAGGGCCCATACTCCTGAATTGCAAGCTTCGCCTCTCTATCCACCAAGCACGTGTTTCAGCACAACCTCAATACTCAGCCCCTAGACCCTGGAGATCCCTGAGCAATCCAGCGTGTTTCGAAACAGCAGCCTACGCTGAAATTGACCTAGTGGGGCTATAAGGCTTCAATGATGTATGCAACTAGCTTTCAACAGCACCCAGTTTTTTTTGAAGTTTGGGAAAATGCATCCAAGGGGAACTTCCCAATATAGGTCCACAAAGGCATGCCCTCAAAATACAACTTTTCTCAGGGAAGCTCCAAACTCCCATACCCGAAAGCCGCCTTCAAATTTACAGTTTCAGGCGACATAGCATCCGTCACCCCCATGTTGGGCCTGTACAACTGCGTCTTGGATAGCACAGTAAGGGTCCGATGGCACATGGCCGGTGGGCCATGGGGAGAGGGCACTTAAGAATGAGTCTAGGACAGGTTTAGCTCAGGCCACCCCCGACCTCAGAATGGATTGAGATTCCTGGATGCCAGGGCGGTAAGACATGGGAGCCATACTGTAGGCAGCAATTTGTACGGCCGAAAACAGGCAGCAGCTCAGCATGCTATGGCACCTCTGCTATTGAAACTTAGAAGTCCAACACATTTTCCACCATGCTTGGTGCCTTCATGCAGAGGCCTCCTAGGCCATATTCTGCCAAGAATGTTCAGTCCCCTTGTACTATGATGTGTAAGTTTCTCAGAATCATCCTTTTATACTCACCGAGAAGGACTCCCGTAATCCTTTTCCGGAGATGTCCTTCGCGCTTGAAGGCCCCCCCTTTGCAGCACATAGAGGCAGAAGTGTTTCATATGAGGGGTGCGGTGGTGTTTAAGATTAGTGTAAACGGCCTCGCTTTCAAAGGGTATTGCAAAAAGGCATTGTCAATTTTTCTACCAAATCCATCTGATCTTTTCCTTCTGGAACAGTAGATAGACCCTCTAAAACAATTCCATCAGAACCTTTAACCGGAAATCCTGAACCATGTCATTTGAGGTTATAATTGCGCCAAGTCTCCAAAGGGGGAGCCGCAGCAGATTTCCGATCCACTAACGGTGTTCGAATATCTGTACCTGGGCAGCAGCACGGAGACTAATGTAGGGGTCTAGGTACTTGATATTGAATGATTTAGGGTTTAGTAAATATCAGTATTCCCTAATTCCAACCCAAAGATTACGTGTACATAGTCCCTACATTACCCATATATTCCCTGATTCCTATTGACAAACAGTAGGACAATTAACCCTAAGCCCCTAAACCCTAAACCTGTAGGGCTCTGCCTTGAAATCCAAGTTCTCGCAAACACCTGGGCTACTTTAGCTCAAACATGCAGAGCAGTCACTTGTAAGTACCTATCAGTATAGTCTACTTGGAGGACTTAGTAAGTGGGATAGTCATTGAAAAGAAAATAGAAACTACCCACATGTTTTAGGGCTTAGAGTTTAGGGTTAAGGGTCATGGTGACTTAGTGAGTGGGTTAAGAATCTAGCAAGTGGGTTGATGATCAGGATAAGCCGGGGCTACTATGTGGCTTACAGGCGTATAAGTCTACTTACGAAGCCCCCATGACCCGCAAAGTGATAGGGAATGAAGGAAAGGGTTCTCAGGACCGGTCTTGTAGGGCGTAATTCGCAATTGGATAGAGCTCCACGCCAATTGCGCATTGACTCTTGATGCCCCCCCGGCAAGCTTGTATCGATTTGTTGCAGTTAGGGGGAACTTCGTTGTATATGCACAGCCTCTCCGAGGACAGTGTGTGTTCCTTATTTCGTGGGGTCTGTTCTCAGAATTAGCGGTCTTGCTTCGTTTTTTTCCGGAAAGGACCCCTGCGGAAAGAGGGCTTCTGTTGCACTGAGCTGCCTGGCATATTGAGTAGTGCCACGACCCATCCCTAACTGCGCGGCTTAGATGGAATCCTCCTGTGCATCATAACAGCACTCCTCTGCTTTCTTGAGAGCATGAAACTTCATCCGGTGTAGGTAGTTTTTCTGGGTAATGTAGAATCCCGAAGAAGTAGGATCATTTTTCTCTTACGAGTCTGATTCAACTACGTGCCCCAACCCTTACTCTGATGATCTAGGCCCCTGCCCTGCGCACAGAGTCTCTTCCCTACACCCCCTGGACCCCAAACCTTCCATACCGCCCCCACTCAGCAGCAGTTAGACAAGATATGCAGCATATCTATGTCATGCCCTGTATATGGCTCCTGTTACTGTAAGCATTGATAGGGGGGGAGGCAGTACCCTACCCACCTATCTATCTCTATAATCAAGCCCGTACATATCTAGGTTTAGGGCTTAGGGTTTGGGATTTAGGGTTTAGGGTGTAACCTACCCCGCAGCCCATACATAACCCCCCCTGAATCAGGAACTTCTCGCAGAGATTTGCAAAGCAGGATGCACCTTGTTTGCACGAGTCATATCTGCGAACGAAGCTAGAGACCTTACAGTAAACCTGAGACCCCAAACACCTTCTACCCTAAACCTAAAGCCCGAACCCACAGCAGCAGATGCCTCTCAATATGATAGTTTCTCAAAATAACCCCTTTATTCCCTGAGGCGAAATCACTCTTGTGTATATCCCTAGACCCTAACCGTCACATGTAGAAAGACCAATTTCGGGCAAATGTGCTGGTCCAACAGTTTCTTCAGTGATCGTTGAGAAAGACATGAAGCGCTGAAGTTCAGACCCTGCGCATGTAAAATGACAAAAATCCCCAGCAGTAAAATAGTTGAATCCTTAGATCCCAGACTCCTCTCTAAGCCCGCAAGCCCCCGCTTCATAATCGTGGGAGCCTTTCATGCTTCCTTCAGTCAGTCCCTACTTACATCACAAACCCTACATCAAGATTACTACTACCGTTGCTATGGCAGATGGTTATTACTACTGTTACATTTTACTACCTAGACCTTCAACCCCAATCCTCAATCCTAGACCCTAAACCCCAAATCCTAAGCCCTAAGCCCTAAACCCCGAAACCCCTAAACCCTAAGCCCTAATATTGCAGGAAACTCGCGCACAGCCACTATTTCTACTGACGCCAAGGTGAGCTATGCCTCTTTCAACCCGGAGGATTACATGCCAGCCCGGGGTCCCAGAACTGATCTCCAACTTAGTGGCCTCCTACATACAATGGAAACTACTTTAATAGGCTATAGGGTTAGGGCTTGGGGGTTTGAAATGGGGATAGTAGAAAAACATGGAAACTACTATTTAATAGGGATTAGGGTTTAGGATTTATTTGGTTTCGGGATTAGGGTTTCGGGTTATCTAAGGTTTAGGGATTTTACCTCAATCATGGGAGAATCAACCGGAAAAGAACGTGGAAGATTACGTGCATTGGAGTTTATAGGGGGTATGACTTTATCATGGTGACGATAAAGAGGTTTCCTTTGGGATATTGGTGTGTGAAGTTATGCAGTGCGCGAATTGCAGTCTGGGAAGCAAATGGACAAGAAAGAGGAAGATTGAATGACACTGGTTTTAGGCAGTGGTTGGTAGGGCACAGGGATTTCATGTCTTTACGTTGCTGGTTCCTGTGCCGGAAAATCCTAAACCCTAAGCTCTAAAATTCAAGCCCTAAACCCTAAACCCTAGTGTTCATGTTTCTTGAGGAGGGGTTGGGTTGACTTTCGAGTTTTTTCTGGGGTGCTGAAGGTGTGAAGTGGGGGTCTGCATAAATGAGGGAGCCCTAATATAGGGTTTAGGGTTTAGGGTTTGCGGTCTAGGGTTTGGGGTATAGACCACAATTCTTTCAAAATACTCCTCATGGGGATTCTCCCAAAAAAGGAACCCTAGACCCTAAGTCTTGGAGCCTCACAGCCCCAAACCCTAAACGGTACGCCTGACCAGCGGCCGGGTTCTGGGACCCTGTGCTGGACATAGGATTATTGATTGGGTTAATTAGGGGTCCCTTCCTAAACAGGTTCTATATAGGGGCTGTCTAGGGTAATATACATTTTGGGGATTATGATTCAGTGTTTCAGCAGACTGCGGGTCCCTTTTTGGGTTTCTCTAACAAGGATCGATTTGTTTGGGCGTCGATACGGGATGGAACCTACCACATAAAAACCCACCCATGCTCATTGATTGAACCCTAAAGCCTTACACCCTCACCGCAAACTGTGAAGGCTACTGTCTGTAGCCGTTCCTTGCATTGTCCCAGTATCCTTATCATGTACTACTTTCCAGAGCGGGTATGTGCACCATTCCAGTTGCGAAGAAGCTTCTACAGCCCCTCGAAAATCTGGAGCCAAGAAGACAAAGAAAAGCTTCGCTGCTTAAAACACAGTTTGTACAGGTGTTTCTCGAATTGAGGGCCTCTTCTCGCAATCCCTCCAGTCCTCAACGCTGTTATCGACACCATGCCGGTGCTGTTGTAGTGGCGGCTACTGCTGCTGCTGCTGCTGCTGCTGCTGCTGCCGCTGCTGCTATCACAGAATTGTGTCATCTTTCTGTCGTTTCACCAGTGCTATGTTTCAAGCTCTCCTCGTTTGTCTTGCCCCAAGTATGCACGAGAGTCATAGATTTTTTCATATGATGCAGCCATACATCATGAACCTCGTCCGACCTTACCCCCACATGGTGGTCTATCCGATACTTGTTCCACACTGGCTGAATTCCTGTTGCAACAAGTGGTAGTGTCAACCCACTGGGGGGCCCCAATATGCATCGTAAAATGCCGGAACCCTTATTAGAAGTATTCAAAAAGGGGTCTCCAGCTCTTGGACCCCTCCAGGTTGCTTCTTACAGTCCTTCGCTAATCATGGCGGACCACGCAACAACCGAGCAGCCGCTCCGGCTGGGTCACGCTTTTGGGGCAGGGATCGGGCTCAGAATTTGGGGTTGGGACTTGGCGGGCTTAAGTAAGGGTTTAGGCTCGGGGCTCAGGGTTTAAGAATTCTGCACTTTGCCCACTATGCCTTGGGGCTCGGCGTCTGAACTTCACTCGATCAATTTGAGGGTTGGGCAAAAGCCTCGCCGGCCTAAGATTGCAAGTCTCCGCACTTACTTGTGATGGACAAGCCTTCTACAGAAGCCGCAAAACCTGCAATGTTATCGTCCTAGATTCCTTTTACAATTATGATACAGGTTGCATTGCCTGGAACACGAATTGAGCCATGTTTGTGAAGATCGAATGACCTTGGCCACACTGGTTTCTTACTCGAACATTCTCATTGAATAGGACAAATAAAAAATGCATACTCATGCGAATACCATGCCTGGATGCCTCCTGTCCGAGCACAATACTTTCAGACAAGGATTTGTAGTCACGTCTCTGGTTTGGACCATGTCAATCGATAATTCCTTCGCACATGTCTAGGTGTATCCTAAACTGCTAATGCTTCGTCATTTCCCTTTCAGTATAAAAGATATGTTATGGGAGGACCCTAAACACGAGCCCCACATCAGGGCAGATAAAGCCATCTTGCCCGTTCAACATATAGTCCCCCTGAAGTAGATAGAATATGGGGCATATGGGGATCTTGTTATAATATACCCAAAGCCATATTCTACCTACTTAAGTGGGACTATAGCTCCATCCTTGCAGTCCTTCCTCAATCTTTTTTGCTCCCACGACAAGCAGGAGACATCCCAAAGCCCAAGCCGGGTTGCTGTTTGGGAACTTGTCTCAAGTTACCATAATACAGGTACATTGCCTAAACCCTAAAGCGCGAGTAGGGTTTCCTTATTATGGAGCCCCAAGGCCCAGTTAAACCCAATTTCTGCCGAGGAACTACCGGAATGCCTGGGATTTCGCCAAAGGCCTTGGTGCAGATCTGATCTAAAGTCCTTAAGGGGGCTGGGATTTAAGGAAGGGATATTACCCCCCAATAATATTAAGGAATATATAGGGGTTATATACGGATTATATTGGGATAATGGAAAAGAAAATGGAAACTACTACAATGGGGTTATATAGGGGTTATAATGGGGTATATATTGG